TAAGTGAAAGACATCACGTTGACACTGAATACATTTTGTTTTTGTCACGATAAAATGATATGTTTAACATTTGTGTTTATACATTAAAATAAATTTTTTTAATTGGAGTAAAAACAGCGAGAGAAACAACAACAACAATAAAAAAACAAACAAACAAACGCAACAAAGTCAACAAAATAATTAAGTAATAAAATGTTTCATTTTATATTCTCACTCCGTCTGAGAAAGAATCAAACCGAAATGTAAAATATACTACGGACTCAGTTTCGGATCGATTCACTTACAGATGATTTTAATCCGTTAAAGAAAGCAGAAGAAAACAAAAAAAAGGAAACAAACAAAACAAACAAGAAATTAAAACGAAACAAAAAAAAAGTTAGTTGTTTGTTGTTGATTTCAAAAATTAATTGACATAAAATTTTCTACTTCGTTTAAATTTCTTATTCGGTGGGTACTCCTACTACTCCTCCTACTTTTACCCTCTCCTCCCCCTTTACCAAGTAAAACTTCTTCTTTCTTCCGGTTTCCTCTCTTCCTTCCCAATCATAAAATTTTCTTCTCATAAAACGTGACGTCAATTTTCCTTTTCGAAAATTCTCTTGTCATCGAATTTCAAATGCAATCGATCACGAGACACCACTTTTCAACTTAAAACGAAAATTCAAAGATTATATTGTAAATTCCAAAACCTTTTGAATTTCATTTCATCATCATCATCATCGTCATCCCTCGGGAATGCTAAATCATTTGGTTCCTTTCCCCCCCCCGGAAATTCTTACAAACGCCACCCAAAACTACCACCGCTACCGATTTTATCGTTTTCGTACCTGAATATTTTCGTCGTCCGAATACAATAAAATTCTCGCGTCTTTCTCCATTATTTTCTTTCTAAATGTTTTTCCTATTATTATTATTATTATCGCTAAACTCATTGATGCTGTGAACTTTTCACGTATACGTCGACAACGTCAGCACCGAATAAAATAACAAAAACTCCCCAAATAATTACAAGAAATTGATGGAAAAATTAAAATAAAAAAAAAAAACAAACAACAACAGGAAAAAGAGTGGGAACGACAACAACAACAACAACCACCTTGTAATTCTATAAGCTTATTTCATTCTTAATTTTAAAAAATTTCCCGCACCTCCCCTAAAAACAAAACCGGAAAATATTGCTTTTCACCTTGTTATAGAAAACAATGTTGGGGTAATTGGAAACGGTTAAAAAATAAATCAGAAATTCTACAGAAAATTAATAATTGTTCCCTTCTTTTCTTTTTTTTCTCTCTCTCTCTTTTTTACAATCTTTATTCACCTTTTTATTTTCCTTCATTTTGTTTCTTCTACCACTTTTTCGTCCGAGAAATTCGTTAGAACCACGTCGCGAAATTAAAAAAATTTTTTTTTTTCGAGTGAGAAAAGGGATTTGATAGCGCAAACACATCGTTTTTCATTTCATCTAAAAATGATCCGTTTTTTTTTTATATCGATCCATTATTTAAGTTACTACGAAAAAGAGAGAGAGAGAGAAATTAAAAAAAAAAGGATAGAAATTGCCCGCGGTTAATCCTTTGAATCGTTAATTGGTATTAATTTTAAACCCCGAAAAGCGAAATCCATTTTTGAACTTAACACTCTGGTCAAATTTTTAAAAACTTTTTTTTCTTTCCCTTTCTTTCCTTTTCCGGTTTTTCCCTGGAACGCTATAAAAAGCTCCCCGTCATCAAAAACCATCGATAAATTTTCGCGCGTAATTATTAAAAAAAATTAAAAATTTTTTATCACATTTTTTCAAAAAAAATTACCTGGAAAAACAAACAAAAGATAAACAGAAAACAAAAAAAAAATAAAAAGCAGAAGATAAATCGAATAAGATAAAAAAGAAAAAAAATTTTTTTAAACGGTTTTTTAACCGATTAAAATGGCAACAACAACAACAGCATGAAAAACGAGCTGTCGATTATTATTATTATTATTATTATCATTATTAACACTCGTAATCATTTTTTTTTCTTTTATGAAAACTTTTATCGAAGGTTAAAATTAAGAAGAAAAAGTTTACAAAAAGTTTTATTTTTTTTTTTTATGTTCAAAGAGTAAGGGAAAATTGCGTTCGTTCGTTCGTGTGCTTGAGCGTGCGTGCGTGAGTGAGCGAACGGGTGAACGGGTGGGTGCGTGCGCGGATGTGGCAAGAAAACAACAAGTTTAAAATATTAAAACTTTTCAAAAAGTTATTTTTTTTGAAAAATAAAAGCCGAATATGAAATTTTCCCACACCTTTCAATGGTTTTTTTTTTTTTTTTTTAAATGCGGGCGAGATGAAAACGATGTAAAAGGGATGTAAAAAAAAAACCTGGAAGGGATATCCTGGAAAGAATAAAAGGGAAGAAAAAAAAAATTCTGAAACGAATACTTTTTTTTTTTCTTTCATTTTTTTAATGGAAACCCGTTTAATTTCTTAGAAGGAGAACTCTTGGTTTACTTTAAAAAAAAAAAAAAAACTCTATAAAACAAGAAAATGGAGAAAAGGGGGAAGGAGAGGGTGGAAGGAAGAGAAAAGGGGGAAAAGAACCTGAAAAAAAAGGGAACCGACAGACTCGAAAAACTTTTCAAAACTTGACACGAAAACTTTAAATTGAAGTCATACATTTTACCATACATTCTATATAAGATCCCTTACCCGTATCCTGTTCCAGAATCCCTTCATCTCCTTCCCTCCCCACCCCGCCGCCACTCTCTCTTAACCTTTTACATTAACCTTTCCATTTTACTTTTCCAGACGAAAATTTCCCTTTACTCATTTTATTCATTTTTCACCCCCCATCGCTTCCACCATTTTCTCTCCCCGCTCTCCCCATACCCCGATCCAGTAACGAAAAAAAAATTAATCGATTCGACACCCGAATAAAATTTTCCAGAGATTTTTCTCCATATATATATGCGTTTTGAAAATATCATTATTATTATTATTATTAACGTTGTGAAAACATTAAAACGTTTTAATTATTTTCGTTCGTAGTTTTCATAAACGACAATTCCCCCCCCCCCCGTTCTTTCCCCCACTCACCTTCTTCTCCAGTCCTTTTTACGTTTTATTCCAAAAACAATTTTCTCTCTTCTCCAGTAACTAAGTTTTATTTTATTTAAGAAATTCTCTCGCGTTTTGTTCTTTCTCCAAAGAAAATTCTATTAGAATTTAAAATGAAAAGAAATCAAACTATATCTACGTTTCTCACGAATGTCATGATAATAATAATAATAATAATAATTTTATTTTAACGACTGGGAAACGGGAGGGAAGAAGGGAAAAAGGAGGAGGGAGTAAAAGAAAAAAAAATGAAATTATAATAAGCAATAATAATGATGACGTGATTTGACGATGATACGGCATTTTAAATTTTAAAAACCCTCCTGGATATGTGTGCGAATATTCGCCTGGATATTTTATTTCCTTAAGAAAAAGGAGAAAAAGATGAAAAGTGAGAGAGAGAGAAAAAGGAAAATGTCCTGGAATGTGTTTTGGAATCATGCAATGGCGAGATTCATTTTTTGAAGAAAATTTTTTTTTTTTTTAATGTTTAACGTTAAAATGTGTGTGTGTACGTAAGATTGACGACGGAGTTTAAAGTTTTCCAAAACTTGTTCCATACGTTCCATAGAATTTAAAATTACTGGAATTTTTGAGGTCGAAAAGTCAAAAAAGAGAGAAAGAAACTGGAGAAAACCATAAAAAGTTACTTTTTTTCTCCATATTTTTAATAATAATAAAAAAATTTCCAATGGAAAAAGCGTCGCCGATGCTGGAGAAAAAATAAAAATAAAAAAAAAATTTTTTTTTCCGCGCGCAAAGAAAAAAAAAAAGTTAAACGCGCCTAAAAAAAAAAAATTTTTTTTTTCTTATTATATATAAGAAAACTATTGAAACTATCAAAACCAGAAAATAATTTTTTTTCGATTCGATCCATTGTTAAAAGCGAAAGAAAAAAAAAAAAAGTTAAAATGACGCCAAATTTCTGTCGTTACGTCCGGCTCCCCCCTACTTTCCCGCCCCGCCCCGTTTGCCACCTCCCCTTTCCTCTCCCATCTCTCCTCCCCCCATATAAAAAAAATAAATTTAACGAAAAAATTCTTTTACAAAAAAAAAAAAAAAAAAAAAAAAAAAAAAAAAAAAAATTTTTTTTTTAAAATCAAACAAAAAAAAAAAAATTATTTTCTAAAATATTTTTTTCCCCCCCCCCCCCCCCCCCAGCAATCAAATAAATTCGTTTCTTTCGCGCAAAAAAAAAATCGATTTGTTGCCTTTAAGATAAATTAAAAAATATTTTTTTTTTTTTTTTTTTTTTTTCTGTTGACATTAAACCAAGTTTCAATGCGTTGTATACAAACGGGGGGGGAGGGGCAGCAACGATACGATTTTTACATTTAAAAATTAATTTTTGAGTATTTAACGGGGGGAGGGGCGGAGTCATATCGTTCTCGATTTTCTTATATCTCCTGACACGTTTTCGACAAAACAAAACCTTTATTGTATACACCGTCAAAAGTCAAATATTTTTTTTTTTTGTTTTTCAAAAAATTAAGAGGAAGTGTGATAGTAAACAAGGGGAAAACGTTAAAACCGCACCATTTTTTCTTTTTTCTTCTGCTTTTTTTCCGTTCTTATTATTTTCACGTAACGATTTTTCATATCATTATTATTATTATTACTACTAATTTTTTTTGTTTTTCTTTTTCCGATAGGAAATATCAAGTTTTAATTAAAAAAAACTTTTTTTTTTTTTTTTTTTTAAATAAAAAAGTTAATAAACAAACAAACAAACAAACAAACGTTGTTTAAATTAATCGAACGAAAAACAAACGTCGGAAAAACGTTTTACAAAAAACCTTGAATTATGATTAAAATCAATTCAATATGGGAAGTTATCAGACGACAGGAAAAAGGAGGGAGGAAATGGAGAGAGGGGGAGAGGGAGAGAAATAAAAATAATATAAAAATCTTACCTGTGTGAGTTCTTTGATGAGCCTTTAGGTGAGAACTTTTTGTATAAACTTTTTTGCATCCCAGGAACTGGCATTTGTGTATCCGCCTTTTTGAATCCGGCGAATGATCGTGCCTGTGACGCGTACTATTACTACTACTACCACCACTACCACCACCACTACTACTATTATTATTATTATTATTATTATTATTTAAACTAGGATTTGTTGTTGATGTCGGGGAAAAATGACCCTGCGTTACTGAAATAAGATGCGTCACGCACGGAGAATTTGTAAGCTGAAGAAAAGCGCGACGAGTTATGAGATTTAAATCTTGACTACTGCTACTGCTACTGCTGTGCTGACCACTTTCAGGGCTGGACGGAGGAGTCAACATCGTCTGTCCTTCCCCGGGTTCGGTTTTAACATTTATGTGTGTCGTTTCGAAAAGATCCTCGTATTCTTCATCTTCGTCGCGATCCGTCGGCTCTTGTTTAACGACTACGGCACAACTAAGGGAAGTGTCCCACGAAATACGACTACACCCGCTGCTTCCCGAACCCATACCACTACTACTAACAACATTATCTACATTTTTATCTTTCAAACGTAATTCGTCCAATTGTAACAATGGATCCACGACTTCGACTTTTGTTACTTCCCAACTCGTTGCCATAACGCCCGGTGGACCTATTATATTCCACGAATCTAATTCCGTCGGTAGTTTTTTGTACGACTGAAGCTTTGGCTCATCTTTTAGGTACCGTTCCATTTCGTAGCATGTCTGAAACAAATAAATCCATAAAAATTATTCCCGATTTACGAAACGCATGAAACAAATATCTCCCGAAAAAAAAAAATTGTTTCGGCGAGACGAATTCGATTCGAAAACTAAAAAAATGCGGGAGAGGGAGAGAGGGGAGGTGGGGATGGGAGGAAGGGGCGGGAGAGCGGGAAATACAAAATGAAATTTAATCACGACTACGCGCTCGTGCAAGCGTTCGTACGTGCGTGCATGCGTTCGCTCGTACGTGCACTCAAATAAATATATATATATATATTTATAAATTTAGTCAAAACACCACCATCGTCATTTATTGCCACCATTAACTATACGTTTCAGTTTCTCTAATGTCCCAAAGGCGTCCCTCTCTCCCTCTCTCCCTCCCTTCCTCCCTAACCTTCGAAACTTTATTTGCGGTTTAATTTTGAACGCGGGAAAACTTTGTGAATCGAAATGGCAATTTTAATGACTGCCAACCAACCAACCAACCAACCAACGAACCAACGAACCCGACAAAATATTTACTAACTAAAATTCATTTGAATTGTTTTCAAACAACCGAAAAATAAATATTAATAATAATAATAATGATAATAATAATAATAATGATAATAATAATAATAATAAATTTGTTTTGGGTATAAAGGAAGGAAAAAAAAAAAATTCAAATAACGAATAATTCGTTTTTTTTTTTTTTTTGAGGGGGGAGTTTCTTTTTTTTTTCTCTCTCTCTCCCCACATTTTCCGTTATTGCTTTTTGCTGTTTTTTTCCTTTTTCTGTTTCCGTCACGTTGTGAGTAAATTGTATTGATAATATGAGTTTTTTTTTTTTTGTTACGGTGACAAATAAAAACATTTTGAAAAGGAAAGTCGATAAAAAAAAAAAAAATTAATTTGACACATTTGCTTTTCTTAAACGTATTTATTATCTTCTTTTAAGGCAAATAAACGACGACGACGAGAATACGATTATTTTTTTTTTTTTTTGGAAAAAAAAATGAAAAAGAAAGATGAGTGAATACAAAAAGAGAGAGAGAGAGAGTGGAGAAATGGAAGGAAGGAAGAAGGAAAGAAAATAAAGAAATGAAACCATTTTTTTTTTGTGTTGCCAAAAGGAAAAGAATTTAAATTTTATTTTTTTTTCTTTTCTTTTCTTTTTCTTCTTTTTTATTTCTCTCTCCCCCCTTCTTTCCTTCTCTTTTCTTTTTTCTATGGAAAAAATATGATGGTGAAAGGCTAAAAAAAAAAAAAAAAAAGATAAAACGCGATCTGAATATCTATCTATCTATCAATTTATTTGAAAAAGGTTACTTTGATTCCAGTCGAACTTTTGACCATAACTAAACTACAATATCTATCTCTTTCTTTTTTTTTAGTTTTCTTTTCAATTCTCTTTTTTTTTCTTTTTCTTCTTCTACCACGTTCAAAAAAAGCAAAAAAAAAAAAAATGAAATCGTGAATGGTTTTGATTCGATTGTTTTGTACGAACGTTTTTATAATATTTCTTCCCCCTTTCCTTTTCCGGTTTCTGTTTAAAAACAAATTTTTCCACACCTCCCTCATCCTCCTTATTCCTCTCTCTCTCTCTCTCTCTCTCTCTCTCTCTCTCTCTCTCTCTCGTTTTAAGGGTGTGTTTGTGCGAGTTTAAAACAAACAATCCTTTTTTTTTTTTTTTGATTAATTACATTTCATCATAAATTCGTCAACCATGTTGTTTTTTTTTTCCAATTCCTTCGATAAAAATTTCGACGAAAAAAAAATTAATCTAAAAATAATTGAACACTTTTTCATGTCACTTTTTTTTTTGTTTTCTGAACAACAATTTAATAATAATAATAATAATAATAATAATAATAATAAAAGAACAAATTCATTAAAAAATTTTGAGTAAAAATTAAATAAAAAAAAAACCTTGTTTTGAGAGCTTAATAATAATAAAATTTTCCGGATTTCGGGTCGGAATTTTAATTTAATTAATAAACACGTATATTATTATTATTATTATTATTATCATTTTCATGTTTAACTTTTTATTTTTTTTCTCTTTTTATCGCATCTTTTTTTCTTTCTCTCTCTCTGTCTCTCTTTGTATAATTAGAATATTTGTTTTTAAAAAAAAAACGATTACGGATTGACAAAAGCATACGAAAGAAACCATTAAATTAAAATTTTTTTTTTTTTAATTTTCCAGAAGCAAACAAACAAACAAACAGACAAACAAAAAAAAACAAATCAATGATTCGTCTGGAGAAATAAAAAAAAAATTATTTTTTTCTTTCGCTCTCTTTCTCTCTGTCATATTAATTTATGAATAATAATAGTAATAATACGGGAAAGACTTTGGAGAGCAAAAAAAAGCGATAAAATAACAGAGGAAAAGAGACAGAGACAGACAGACAAAGAGAGAGATAGAGAGAATAAAACGATAACGAAATAATAATAATAATAATAATAATAAAAAAGACAAAAATTCCAATGGGAAAAATCAAATTTTGCTTTTTTTTTTTTTTTAGATATTAATTTCCACTGAGGTTGTTGTTGTTGTTGTTGTTATATCGACTGACAAGAATCATTTTTCATAGAAAATAAATAAAAAAAAAAGGACAGGAAGAAAATTTCGTGGCAGAAGAAAAATTCATAAATATATATATATATATATATATATATATATATATATATATATATATATATTTATTTATTTTATTATTATTCAATCGATGAAAGAAAATTATTTCGTTTAAATTCTTCGATAATAAAAAATATTTCCAGACTTTTTTATTATTATTATTTTTCTAGTTTTACAAAACAAATTTTAATCGTTTGAGTAGGGAAATTATATCGTCGTGCGATTAGAAAATTTTTAATCGCCGACGATAAAAAAATAAATCAAGACGAAAAAGAAAAAAAAATGGTGGCGAAAAGAGTGAAAATCAAAATTTAAAATCAAAAAATTTTTATAAAATTTTTTTTGGCTGGAAAACAAACGAACGAAATATTAAAAAACAAACAAACAAAAATTAATACACGCTTATAAAAATAATTACGCGTTGATAAAACGTTCCAGTGTTGCCAACCGAACGTAGTAAAAAAAAAAAAAAAAATTTATGTTTTAATCTGGACAAAATCTTTTTGTCAAAAGAAAAAAAAATTTAGAAAAAAACTTAATGAAAGAGAGAGAGAGATTAAAGATTTAGATTTAGATCTTTCTCTCTCTCTTACCTATTATCATTTACCCTTCGTATTATCATCTCTCTCTCTCTCTCTCTCATCTCTCCATTTAAAGTTTAACCCTCATTCGCACGCAATTTTATTTATAATTGCAAACCCTTCGCAATGTATTTCCTTCCTTCCTTCCTTCCTTTCTTTAACTGAGGGTCTATCTTTGCACTTAAATAAATACATAATAAATTTTCGTTAGTTTTCCATAGAATAAAAGAACTACATACGTATACCGAAACCAAGTTAAAAACTAAAGAGAGAGAGATAGAAATAGGGGAGGAAAATTAAACGAGAGAGAAAGAAAATGATAAGTAAGGAGGCAACCAGCCTGGCAGGCACAAAAGGGATGATTCTCTTTTTCTGTCTCTCTCTCTTTCCCTTGTGATTTATAAGAGGGAAAATTTTCAAACGCGTACTTTTCATCTTTCTCTCTATCTCTCTCTTTCTCTATCTCTTCTTCTCTTTTTCATTTCTTCCTTTTCATAATCGGAATTGAAAAGTTGTCGTCGATGACTCTTGTAAAATTTTACTTTCTACTTTTACCGTTAAAACCTTTCGAATTTTACCCCCAAACAATTTCTAATAATTTTATTTAATATTTTAAATAACTACAAAGGCAACAGCAGCAGCAACAGCAACAACGTTTAGCTTCAGCGGTTTTATAATTAATTAAAGACATTGATCGATAACTTAATTAAGGTCGACCACGCAACACAATAAATCAGTTTTCTTTTGTACATACAATGATGGAATGACTGGCCGCTTCAAAGTTCTTTCCTCTTTCTCTCTCCCTCTCTCTTTCTCTCTCTTTTTACTAGTTTTAACGATTTTTACTATGACAGCAGCGACGACGATAACAGGAATAATAATAATAATAAATATTTATTCATTACGAAAATTTTATCGATAATAACAAAAAAAAAAGAATGAAAATATATTTCCGGACCACGACAAGAGAAATCGTGTAAATGACACGACATGAATGATTGATTAGAATGATGCACTACTACTACTACCACTACCACCACCACCACCACTACTAATTTTATCTAATTCCACTTTAATTCTATTTTATTTCCCATAAGAATCCGAAAAATTTTAAATGATGTATAAAAAAAAAAAAAAACCGACAGAGAGAGAAAGAAAACACGAACGAGACAAGGAACAAAAATAAAAAAGATACATTTTAACGTTTAATTCACTTGAACGGAACCGGAAATAACAAAATTTTTAAAGTAAAAAAAAAAAAGAAAAAGAAAAAAAGATTTTTTTCTTTTATTTATTTAACCTTTGTTCTCGATAGCAGGCAATCATATAAAATCGATATTTTCTTTTTTTTTTGTGTGTGTGTTTTCTTTACCTTTTTATTATTTTCCAAAAAAAAAAGAGGAAAAAATAAAAGGAAAAAAGAAGAAAAGAAGAAAAAAAAGAAAAATCAGCAATTTTTCCTTTTTTTACTTTTTTTTTCCACTTGAAATTTTTTTTCTCAACGATATATTTTTTTTTTTTAAAAAAAAAACTGGATTTTAACCTTCAATCAAAATTTTACATGTTTTGAATTGTTTTTCTTAGAGAGAGAGACAGAGAGAGAGGATGCGTAAGAGAGGACGAGAGAGAGAGAAAGAGAGAAAAATGATGAAATTTACGGGTAAACTAATAGTCATTTTGTGTAGCATTGAAATAGAAAACAAATTTCTTCTGCTTGTGTTTCAAACAACTTGTTATCTCCCCTTTAAATTAATTTTTTTCTTTTCTTCTGCTTTTATTTT